ACATAAATCTAGAATTAAATGCAAAAGTAAAAAGCATTGAATGATGTGTTGCTTATATTTATTGTTTAAACAAGTCTGTGAAAGATTGTATTACTGTACTGTGTAAAAAAAGAATTGCAATGCTGAAAAAGCATTTTCAGTGACAATGTTTGGATTTGAAATCAAAATAATGGAATGATTATAATGTTGGAATAAATGTTGTGTTTGTGGTAAACAGCCAGGGATCAGTAGCAGACTCCTGTGTGAAAGCTGCTTCCCCTCTCACAAGAGTCACCTAAGAGGGGAATTTCCCCCATTTCCAAAAATGAAATTCAGGCCCTGAATAAATGTCTAAAAATCCTGATTGAAGTATCACTGTAAATAGTTATAAATTATAAAAAGAAGGCTTTAAAAAGATCAGTATCGTTGATCGGTATCGGCAGATACTGCTTTCGGTGATGGGCGATCTGTGATCGGCCTCAAAAATCCTGATCGGAGCACCCCTAAGTTAAACATCACGTTTTATCTTTGCAAATAAAGGTTAGCAGAATATAAGATGTGAACAGTGATTTCTATGTACCGGGAATGTAATATCTCCCCAGGCCAGTAGATTATAGTTGAGATAACAGCACTGTGGGCTTAAATGTATTGGAACAGGGCCTACACATGTGAAAATAGAGCAAATTGCTATGAGGCATGAAAGCTTAGCCATCTGGACAGAACTGTACCGCAAAGTCCTAGGGATATTAAGGTCATTGTATTACTTTTTTTTTCTTAATCGGAAGCTTTAACTTAATGATCGCTTGTAAGGTAATTAAGATGACCTCTGTGCAATATGCAGCTCAAGTCTCTGGTGGTATGATACACCAGTCTATTAATTTTAAAAGATTTCCCAGATAGTTTTCCAGACAGGTGGCGTTTCAATAATCCTTGATGGACTTTAAAAAACCCAAACAGCCTGGAGAGAAGACCAAAAAAAGCTGTAGCCCAGAATAGCTTAAATAAATAACAAGCATGTTCTGTTAGCACAGCTGTCAAAAAAACAGCAGATTTGTGTTTGAGGACTGGAATGAACTTGTGCTGGCCGCATACACTACCATTATTTTTTTGTTTTTCAATAATCAAAGATTTAAAAGACATTTACAAAGTTACGAAAGGTTTATATTATAAATGGATGCCCCCCCCTTTTTTTTTTTTTTTACACTTTTATGAAAACATGCTGAATACATTTATCACAGATTCCCTTAATATATTAATCAGCATAGCTATTTTCAACATCAGTTAGCACCTTGTCTTTTAAAATTAGCATATTAGAATGATTTCAGAACGATCATGTGACACGGAAGTAATGGCTGCTGAAAATTCAACTTTAAAAGGCTCAGACCTCTTGCACTTTTTGAATTTAATATTAATACATTGTTAGAGGTCTGGCCCAGTGCAAAGTGCTTCTAATATTAATGAGAATTGGCTTCAAAGCAAACTGGTGATCATAACAGGAGAGATTAAAGGAATTTAGCCTTACTGCAAAACCACTTTGATAAAATAAATGATGTAAATGGTGCCTCCAGTTGAATCAAAGTCTGACGTGAGAGAAAACATTTGCTCCGTCATAACAGATGATTTCATAATGTTAGCAGGTATTTTACAGTCTTAAGCCAAGAAACTCTAAATGCCTGGATTTTTAGCAATTTTTTGGGTTCCCATTAATTTCAAAGGCACTTGTTCGGAAGTACGCAATTTGAAATCTGCCAGTTTTGCTCATGGAAGCTTATCCACAAACCTTTCACTAGTGACATAAAAAGCTGTAGAAAGGGAAAAGTTTACATTTCATGCTTTTAAGATCCATGGACAAATATCTGCAATATGAAATGTTTTTCATTTATGAAAAATCTGTTTCATCAATATGCAGAGACTTTTGAATGTCCATCAATGTAGAAAGATCCCCTCCCCCCCACCAAACATGACCACTTTCTCCTTTCTCTCATTCTTGTTTAGCTATCTTGAAGATGCTGTAATGAACCTGGACCATGGAGATCCAGTCACCAGAGACCACATGTCTGCAGTGCTGTCCCAGGTACGACAGAAGCTCTTACACTTCCTGCAGCAGGACGCCCACAGCCCTCTGAGCAAGCGCGCACGGCGCCTCATGATGATGCTGCAGGGCCTGGTCAATCACTAGAGCCCCTCTGGATGGTGCAGCTGACATCTTCACAACCCCTTAGTCATCGTTCTGCAGTCTCCTAGACGACCGTCATGACCTCATATCACCCTGCTGTTCATTTGCCTTATCTGTGCTCTGCAGCTTATTGGCTCTCTCAGAAGCACTTGGGAGTTGTAGTCCCGGCTTGGACTTGGGATATATTGGCGGTTTTGGACTACATCTCCCCCAAACTTTCCGTCCCTCGTTCCTTTCAGACTATTGTTGATATCATTTGATACTGCATGTGAAAAATCCTTAGTTTGTATGCAACACCATCATGAATGCAGAACGGGCCATGGGCTACTTCAGTTATTTTCATTATGCATTCAATACCAGGAGACCACTTTTTTTTTTTCTTTTTTTTTTTGCTTCTTTCATTCTTGATGCATCAGGAACAAGACTGTGGAGAGCGTGAGAGAATGTAAACTATAACGTGAACACTCCAAATTTCGCATGGTTTCCTGGCTGATCTTTTTTCTCCTTTTATTTCTTGCGGTGAAACGCCTTTGAACGCTGGAGACATGGAGACATTATCATCACCGCATGAATATTAGCCCTGTTGGTTTTTGATAAAGGTTGTATTTAGGCCACTTATCCTTATCTGACTCCACTGATCTGCTGAAAATAATTTGGCCAAGTTGCTGCTTTTTCATGTCAAGTTGGAGCATCATACATGTTCCTGGAGTTTTTGTTAATGCTGTCAGGATTTGAAAAGTTCTAACAGATTAACTTCTGGGCAATAGCAAAAAATTTAGCCACACAGTTGATACCATGTTTTTTTCAATCAACAGAGCCCTGTAAAATATGTAAGAGGGCTTATTACATTACCAAGGAAAGCTAACAACATAGTTATTTAGAATTTCTTCAAAAGGAACCTTGAGTCTGTAACTTGCAGTACGTCTGTGAGTCTCCAGAGGGCAGACATTTATGTATATTCTTTCTAATTTTATATGCTGCTTCTGTGATTTATTTTCAGTTCTTCTGCAGAATTGCACTACAGCGAATGCAACAAGGCTCTTAAAAAAAATAAAACCTTTTTTTGTTTTTTCTGTGAAATTGTTTCTTTCTGTATCACATCACCCAAATATTTGAAAGTGGAGGAGAAATGCCCATTTTCTGCTCTGTTCGAGTTAGTTGATTGTATTTGATTTAGACTGAGATTGCCAACACTTGTTATTCATTAGGAGGGTATTTTGGCCCTATGATAAAGGAAGAACAAAAAGAAAGTGCCTTATCAGACTGTTGCGTATCAGATATTGGTAATCGGGTCCTCTGACCCAACATTGGGCGCCACATTGGTGTGTGTGTGTGTGTGTGTGTGTGTGTGGCCTATATCCAAGCAAATTTTCTTTTTCAGTAAAACACGGAATTGGAGTTAGGAATGGACAAGTTTGTTACTGAAACATTTTCTTACAAGTGCTGTAAACTGTGATCTGAGTTTATTTTTTCAGCCATTTATTCCTCAAGTTTCATGCTAATGTGACGAGAAAGTGCCGGCCCTGCTGATTGTGTTTGTGTTAACACATTATTTGTTCCCGTCGTCTTTATTTTTAGAGCTGTGCATATTATATCCATAGCCATTTGCAGCAGTCAGTGTGGCTCATTAGGATATTTTTACAGGGTGTAGGCAATATGTCCTCTCTTGCTTTTTTCTCATATGTATAAAAAATAAAGCTCTTTAACAGACATGAGCCTGATGCTTAAATATGAGGCGCTAATAAGGATATATTAAACTCGCCATGCTTGCATGCTAATGGTGAGAGCCATGTATTCAAACATAGTTAACCTTTTTACGAATTCAACACCCCAATTTTGTTCAAGATTTGTACACCTGGATTAATCTTGCTTCATCTTCATTTCTCTTTCTTCTATAGTATAATGTCCAGCAAAGGTGACCCGTGATTGAATAGATTAACTGATTCAGTTTTATGTTACGTCAGGTTGAAAACGTCCTCTTGTCAGTTTTAAGATTTTGTTGCCGTGCAAGGTTAATTGGTTTTCGATGCTGTTTTAGACCTGTCTGATGATGTTGGGGTTACTATACTAATACACAATGCCTTCAGTTTTTGAGGCTTACAGACCTTTTTTTTCCCCCGTCAAGAGATTCGCATTGCAGGTTGTGAATGACAATTTAATTGTTTGTTATTTTTTCCATTGTGTTTTGATTTTTGTTCCTTGTGAATGCAATTCTGTTGTATATTTTACACTCATTTCTTTCATCCTAGACGTTTTGGAATAAAAAAGGAAAACATTGTTCAATGTTCAGTTGGACTGCGTGTGTTTTCTTTTCCATATACGTGTTTTAATTGTAATAAGCTGTGATACCTCCTTCCTTACACCATTTAATATGGATAAAATGTAAGTATTTAAGAAAAGACAAACATGAACAAAATCATTTGAAATTAATTGAACACCGAGAAGAAAATATAAATGCTTGAGAAAAAAAAATCAATGTACTAAATATTTAAGATGCATAAAACTTTTTAAAAATTATCATTTCATAAACTGCAGTCAAGCATTTTATTTGTGAATAAGTTCCACTTAGTAATAGTAATTTGCTGTTGTGAATTGTTTTTAAAACTCGTGAACATGGGATATCCATCAGTTATTCATGCATTACATGCAGAATATAATATACAGTGGTGTGAAAAAGTGTTGGCCCCCTTCCTGATTCCTTATTTTTTTGCATGTTTGTCACACTTTAATATTTCAGATCATCAAACAAATTTAAATATTAGTCAAAGATAACACAAGTAAACACAACATGCAGTTTTTAAATGAAGGTTTTTATTATTAAGGGAAAACAAAATCCAAAACTACATAGCCCTGTGTGAAGAAGTGTTTGCCCCCCTGTTAAAACTGTGGTTTATCACAAGGGTGGCCCAACCAGTTATTAGGTTTAGGGGGCAAACACTTCTTCACACAGGGCCATGTAGTTTTGGATTTTGTTTTCCCTTAATAATAAAAACCTTCATTTAAAAACTGCATGTTGTGTTATCTTTTACTAATATTTAAATGTGTTTGATCTGAAACATTAAAGTGTGGCAAAAAAACAAGAAATCAGGAAGGGGGCCAACACTTTTTCACACCACTGTGTGTATATATGTGTGTGTGCAACATACGAAACCTGTATTATAAAACCGGTTTATGTAATTATAACTGATACAAACTATAGTAATACTTTATTTTAATGTTCTCCTTTGTTACACACATTGCATGTATTTATTATGGTAATAACAGTAAATTATGCATAATTACATGCAACTAACCCTAATTCGATCCCAATAATGAGTTCGTTGTTAATTAATATTACTGCTTAAATGTAGTATAATTACTCTGACTGTAACCAGGACACCTTAAAATAAAGTGGAACCGAATATAACAACCGATTCTGCAGTAACTATTAGTGTAATTTTAGTACATTTTATTACAGAGCATTAGTCACTCACTATACACTCAAGTAACGTTAACGTAAAATATAGGTTTTCAAATATGAATATATATGTACGTCAACTACTGACGTTAGCATTATGTAATGTTTGCTGATGGCTTAATGAAAGTGTATGTAGAATAGATCAGCGCGTAGTAATGCGTGAGTGAAATGAAAAGTTGTGCTAGAGACAAACCTCCGTTGAGCAGTCAGTCGTGTTCCCGCAGCCTCCTCCCCTTTACTACAAGATGCGCGCGCTAGTGAACCATTCATCACTCCGCGCAATGCGAGCTCAAGCTCTGAGTTTCTATTAAATGAACACACATCTATCTGAACTCCCTTCAGTTTCTGTGCACTGGGATCTGTTCAGGATGACACCCCTCCTCTGCAACGCCTGCCTCATCTTGCCTGTTGCTCTACATCTGCGTAAGTTGATGCTAATACATTTAGTCAATTGTTTCAACCGGTCTTTTAAATGCATAAACACGGACTTCTGATCAAATGGTTTAGAGGTTGCTCGCTCTTTCTAGCCAGCATACACACGAGTCAAACCGCATTTTTGGTTTATTTAGGCTGCGATGAATCAGCTTCAGAGATATTATGACAAACGTAGATCAGGAGAGGCTGCCTATCGGATTATGTTATTGTTCATGGGCTGTTCGTGGGATGAATGAGTAAAACAACAGATACAAAAAAACATACGGGCGTATATAAGTGTGTATCTGTCCAAAAGTGCTGCAGAGTTCAGATCCAGCGCTGGAGTTGAGGCGAGCTCTGGATGTTGCTTTGGAGTCGATGCAAATGTTGATCTGACTTATTTCTCTCGAGGATTTCATCTGTGTGTGGGAGAAAAAACAACAACGATAGTTACAAATCATGAATAAAAGCAGCTGTTCTGCAACTCACAGCTCTTCTCTCCGGAGAGTAAACCGCTTTTGCTCGTTTACGGAACAAGATGTAATCAGTCATAACGTGCGTGAGGGAGGAAAATGTGTTTAAGCCGTGTGTAGGATTTACAATAGACGAGCAAGTGAAATTGTATGGAATTGTGGTTATGATTATTTATAATGATTCCGGTTCTTTAATGGTTCCATTGTTAATTCTTTTTGTAGCCTAGCCTACTTTATAGGAAGAAATGTTAATAAAAAAATATATATGAAAGAAAAAGAAAAAAAGATCAAACGATGACATTAAGACTTCAAAAGAACAGAAATAAATGTAATTCTTGGCAAATGTGCTCTAAACCTTTTAATTAACGTTACTTTTTAAAGGCTGTATAAAGTTAAACATTAGTAACCTTTTTTTTTTTTTTTTTTTTTACAAAATATCACTGATTAATCTAACAATGTGTGCCTAAAAAGTGGTCATATAAACAACTAGTGAGTCTCACGAGCTTTAAGTACAACAAGTTTATTTCAATTCGGACGCCACGAAAGCTTGTAATAAACTGCAGTTCGGTAAGGACGTCACATTACAGCAGTAACGGCTCCGACTGATTCATAAGTGTTTTGATTCACTAAAAAAATGAACCGCTTCAAAAGAGTCATTCGCTCGCGCGGCAATCGAACTGCCGTTGTAGCGCACTTTGTGGTTTTGTTTCACTAAAAAGAACCGGCTCAAAAGAGTCATTCGCTCGTGCGGCAATCGAACTGCCGTTGTAGCGCACTTTGTGGTTTTGTTTCACTAAAAAGAACCGGCTCAGAAGAGTCATTCGCTCGTGCAGCAATCGAACTGCCGTTGTAGCGCACTTTGTGGTTCTCAGCGCAGCCGACGTTATTAATGACCAGATATGCAAATTTCGTATGCCTGGGCATTAGACGCTCATTGGCTTATCTCCACCTATCAGCTGCGAGCCCGCCTAACAAGCGTCGCTATTGGTTGGGAATTGTGTGTGTTCTATCTTCGCTGAGTGTGTAACTTGTACAGGCTGCTCGTAGCCTCTCTCACGGCGGGATTGAATATCGTTCCCATAACGGAGAAATATCTCCGTGATGTCTCGTGAAAGCTCGAGAGGGAACGCTCCGGTTACTATCGTAACCTCGGTTCCCTGAGAGCGGGAACGAGACATCACGGTGGTCGCCGTGTTCGCTACTCGATCAGCTAGAGCTGCGTTCAGTATCCGATTCTGACGTAATTGTCACGTGCACCGCATTTTATACTGCCGCTTGAGCTCGTCAGTATTTGCATGCGGTTTGCATACTTCGCGTCAATTGGCCAGTCATTTGACTGGCGGGAGCCAATAGGACTTCAGGAAAGGTTGGAAGGGAAGGAGTTCCCATAACGGAGAAATATCTCCGTGATGTCTCGTTCCCGCTCTCAGGGAACCGAGGTTACAATAGTAACCGGAGCGTTTTGTTTCACTAAAAAGAACCGGCTCAAAAGAGTAATTCGCTCGAGATACGGACTACACGGACTACACTACACTTGCGCTGCATGTTTTTGATTCACCTTAAAGAAGTTGTTTTGATGACTCTGGTGTATGTATCAAGCCTGTTCAGAATCAGATAGAGCCCGTTCAGCCTACTGAATAGACACGTTATTTTTGAATGTGTGTTCCTCATAAATAATACCTATGAGCATTATACTATCACATGACTTTTGTTTATACTGGCTCCACTCCACAACAAGCCACCACAATTGTTTATTTATGAGCTTTTTTGTTCCTTTATTAAAAAGGACAGTAGGTAGGTTCTGGGAGAAAGAGGGGTGTTATTGGAACTTTTCAGAATAGCACGAGAAGAAACTTGACAGATAAAAAAAAATATATATATATATATATATATAACATATTTGTGAACCTGTAGGCCTATCTGAGCTGTTTTCTTGCTTTATATTACAAACTTGTGCACTACTGCACTATATAGCTCCTGCTGGGCCAGCCAGTTATTGTTAATTTATAATGCCATAAAATATGGGCTATTCATATATAACATATCAAACTTATGCAGCAAGTCTTATATGCTAGACCGTCCACATTATTAAAAGCAATCATTATTCTATGATACAACCACACTGTAATTGAAAGTATTTGGCAACTCAGAGCTTTAGAGAAGAACATTGTACATTCTCACAAACGTGCATTTACATTAGCTGATGTTTTGTTGTATCATAATTTCGAATAACTTGTAAACAAATAGTTTAATGGGGAGAATATGTAGCTGAAAATAAACAGTCAGTGTAGGATTAGAGACTGCAAAAGAAATCCATGATAATTGCTATAATACACTACAACA